CTGCCTCCTCTGGGCCTCCCTCGCTTTACTGCCTTAGCAGGGATATCAGGAATCGCCCAGAGAGCAAGGACAGGGTCTTGGGTTTGAGCCCCCATCCTCCAGTGCAGCCTTCCTTCCTCCCTTCTTCCCTTCCTTCCGTCTCCTTCCTTCCTCTTTCACTCCTTCCTACCACCCCCCCTTCCTCCCTCCCTTCTTTCCTTCCTTCCTTCTTTCCCTCCTTCTTTCCTCCTTCCTCCTTTCCTTCTTTCCTCCCTCCCTCCCTTCTTCCCTTCCTTCCTCCCTCCATCCCTTCTTTTCTTCCTTCTTTCCCTCCTTCCTTCCTTCCTCCTTCCTCTTTCACTCCTTCCTCCCTCCCTCCCTCCCTTCTTTCCTTCCCTCCTTCCTTCCTCTTTCCCTCCTTCCTTTCTCCTTTCCTTCCTTCCTTCCTTCCTTCTTTCCCTCCTTCCTTCCTCTTTCACTCCTTCCTTCCTTCCTTCCTTCCCTCCCCCCTCACAGAATGACTCAAGATCAGGAGATCTGGGTTCCGGTCCCAACTCTACCTCTTAGTAGTTTCATGGTTATGGGAGAGGAAGTATGTCCATTCAGAGTCTGATCAGAGGGAGAATCTGACAAGTGCCGTGAGCAAGCCGATTGCTCACAGGGTTCAAGCTGAAAAGGCTTCCTAGAGGAAGCAGTAAATGGGCCGAGCTGTGAGAGATGGGATTTTGACCAGCCCCGTGGGGTGTGTCAGACAGGGACAGTCCACATAGGAGAACCGAAGGGAGCCGAGGCATGAAGGCAGAGGATGGCCAGCCTTATCTGGGGAGCAGGGAGAATCTAAAAGTTAGACTAGCAGGTGGAGCTCACCCTGAGAAAGAGGCTAGAAAGGTGGTGAGCACTGGGCTGAGTGGCTTGTCCAGAGGAGCCATTGAAGGTTGTTGAGCAGGGAAGTGACCTTTATTTCAAGGAAGGCTAATGTGAATGTAGATGAATCTGGTTGGGACAGAGAGATTCATGGCCTGGGCTACCGCTCTGACGGAGGGTGCTAATGATGGTAATGGCAAAGAGAGGACAGAAAGAGAGAATGACAGGGCCTGGGGAGGACGCAGAGTTCCCAGGGTCGAGCAGGAACCCAAGATGATTCAGGTTTCACGCCTGGTGACCAAGAGCGTAGTGATGCTCACAACAGACCTGGGGTGGCTGGGGGGAGGGTGGTGGTGTCTGGTTTTGAATATGTTGACTTTGAGGTACCCATGAGAACTATGTAGCAGGACTGGAGCGTGGGAGACAGACACACGGACAGCCTCACTGGCCTTGGCAACGAGGAGCCGCTGAGGCCTGCTCTGAGAATGACTTCAAGCGCGTGAGCGCAGAGTGCAGGTTTTGAGGCACTTGGGAGTCAGTCGGCGGGGGGTGCAGTGAAAGCGATGAGTGTTGATTCCCCTCCTATCCAAGGCTAGGGGTGCCTGAGTAAGAGCCAGGCCTTGGGGAGGGGAGGGATGCGCCTGATATAAAACAGAAGACAGCCATGCAAACGGTTTTAAACTGAGTGCAAATGGAAGGGACTCGAGGGGCAGTCTCAGGAGAAACCCCCCTTCAGCCAGCCCCAGGTCCAGCACATTGCTGGGTGCTAAGAGCAGACAGAGATGAAAAGCAGCCCGATCTGCCCTCAAGGAGTTTGCAGTCTAGGAGGGGGACAGGTTCTGGCCAGCAAGGATGAGAGAAGCCAGATGGTGAGAGCTGGTACTTTGTGCCAGGGAATGTAGCATACCTTCATGGGGGAGGCCACACCTGGGCTGGAGGGTAAGGAGGCAGGCTGGCCAGCAGGCCCATAGCCAGCAGAGAGGCAGAAATGGGGCATTCCAGTCCTGGAGAGAGGGCGATGAAGGAAGGTAGGCCCGGTGAGGCTGGCCCTGTGGTGCCAGGCCGAGAGGAGTATTGGGGGCGTTTTATCCTGTAGGTGTGGGTGAGCCTGGAGTGGAGGAATGGCGTCGGCCTAGTCAGATCTGTGCTTTTAGGAACATTGTTTTGGCAGTTCTGTGGAGGATGGATTGGAGCGTATTAGGGGCGGGCTGATGAGTTGGGAGCCTCTTCCAGGGGTCTGACTGAAAGGAGACAAGGGATGGGGACACCTAAGCCTGTATGTACGTGGGAGAGGAGCCAGGGCAGAGCGAGAGGTTCAGGATGCACCTTTTTGTGGACGTCTGAGGAAGCCTGGGGACCCCTTTTCAGAAGAAAGCTTTTAAACGTATTATATAAAGAAACTCATTATACTGAAATACCATTATCAAAATATTTTTTAAAAATATCAAATTCTTGTACCCTTTGAAATTGCTCAAGGGGCCCCCAAGTTAAGCCCTCCTGTTCTAGAGGGGTGTTGGAGGAGAGTGGGGAGAGGGGAAGCTATTAATAGTGAGGCCCCATTGGAACATTTTTTAAAATTCATGAAAGAAAACTGAAGGAAGTACCGACAGCCAGAACAGCTTTGAAAGTGAAGCGTAGCTTTTATTATGTACCTTTCTTTTCTTTTCTTTTTTTTTTTTTAAAAGCAAGTGGGGTGAAATGGAGATTTCGTTTCCTGTGGTTCTATGTGTATGGAGATGTTCTTTTTTGGTATTTAAATTGAGAATAAAAAAATTTTAAATATTCAGACAAGATGGAGCATATTCTGAAAAAAGACATGACATACTTTTTATCCTGAGAAGAGGTGGGAAAGCTGAGAGAGGTCCTGTGGATATTATTAGCCAAGTGGCTGGTGAAGTTGTCTGGCCAAAGCGAGGACAGGGTGGGCTGACAGTGCTTGAACCTCTGGAAGAAGAGTGCTCAAGCCCCAGTCAGCTCAGGGGGTGACTGTTCCACGAGGCCTGGCTGTGCATCCCTCAGAACAGGAGTGGGGCACCCCCAGAGGAACCAAGGCTCTGAGGAAAACATGTCCCCAAGAGGCAGTCATGGAGCCAGAGAGCAGGGAGGGCTTGAGGGCCTGGCTTACACTGGCTGGAAATGGGAAGCCATGATCCATTAGCTGAGGTGGAGCAGAGCTGGGATCAGAGAGGCAGATTCTAGGTGGTCGTGCCTTTTGAGAGCCAGCTTCCGACAAGCTTTGACCAGGAGGGCCTGGCCTCCGCTGACATTGCTCACTGCTCCTTCCCATTCTAGGCATATCTGCACTCCATGTGCATCATTCACCGAGATCTGAACTCCCACAACTGTCTCATCAAGCTGGTGAGTGCCCTGGGGGTGAGCCACCCTGCCTGGTGGGGCCTCTGCCTCACCCTGGGGGACGGAGGGGCAGCAGCAGCTCCAGAGGGAGTGCAGAGACGAGGAAGTGCGACACTTTCCCTTCTCAGCTGAAGGGCCAAGCTCTGTGACCCCTGGCTCTGTGTGCCAGGCCTGCTGGGCTCCCTCCTCTGCTGTCTGGTCCCTCTAAGATGCCCATCTCTCCTGCATTCTCCTCCTTTCTCTCCCAAGTTTACGCGAGCTCCCCTCCATGAACCGCCACCTTTTACCCAGATTCTGTCCTCATTTCCGTTTCCATCTCGGGGTCTTCTTCACCAACCCCCATGAGACATGGCATCATGCCAGGCCCTCCTTAAGTGGCCCATAGCCACCTTCAAGAAGCTCCCATGTCATTTTGGAGAGTTCCCTGGCAGCCAGTGACATGGGGTGAGGAGAACACCAGACTCTAGCACTTAGAGCTGGGTGGGGCTTTGGCCTTTCTGCCTCCACTCCTTCCTCTGTAGAGCGGAGGCATAACACTGGCACTGCCCACCTCCCCGAGAGGGCTTTGTAAATGCCCTCAGTGCTCTCTGGATCTGAGCTGTTCTGGGTGGGAACCTGCTGGTCAGCGGGGTCAGTCACAGACCTGCTTTGTGTCTTTGGCCAGGACAAGACTGTCGTGGTGGCCGATTTTGGCCTCTCAAGGCTCATTGTGGAGGAGAGGAAGAAGCCCTGCTCAGAGAAGGCTTCCACCAAGAAGCGCACCCTGCGTAAGAGTGACCGCAAAAAGCGCTACACAGTGGTGGGGAACCCCTACTGGATGGCCCCCGAGATGCTAAATGGTGAGCAGGCTGTGTGGTGGCAAGTGCCTTGGGAGGTCCAAAAGCGTGTGTCCATGTGGGCATTTCCCACCCCATCTCCTTAAAAACCGGAATGTGGCTCCCCCTCATGGAGCAGCTTCCAGCAGCCAGATGGGCAGACAAGCTGCTGCCCTTCCCTCTTTGTTTTCCATTACATGCTGCCCCTGCCTGGTAGAGGGAGTGCCTGCCTACCTGTCTGCTTGCCTGTCTTTCTGTATGTCTGTCTATCTGCCTGCTTGCCTGCCTGTCTGTCTATCTACCTGTCTGCCTGCCTGCCTGTCTGCCTGCCTGCCTGCTTTCCTGCCTGTTTGTCTGCCTGCCTGTCTGTCTGCCTGCCTGTCTGTCTGCCTGTCTGTCTGCCCTGCCTATCTCGAGGAGGCAAGCTCTGGCTCAGCAGTTTTCAAAGCCCTCACAACCCTTTGAGAGAAGGAACTGCAAACATTCTCAGCACCATTCTCCTGCTTGTGGAAGCCTCTCGGTGGCAACAGAGCCAGGGCTGAGTCTTTGTGGGCCAAGCTTTCTTTCCACTTTCAACTCAGGCCTAGGCCCTAGATCTTCTTCCTGGCTGGGACACACTGTCCTAAAGAGCCAGTCCTGGTCCCTACAGAATATTCTCTTGGGGTTAGAAGATTTGGGGCTTTCTAAGCCTGGGCTGCCCCCCATGGGCAGCGTTGTAGAAACAGTCATTTCCATCCCTTTTAAGAAGCCCTTGCCACCTTGGGGGCCAGTGAGCATTTTGCTAAAGAAAGTTGTGCAGGACATCCACTGCCCCAGTGAGCACCCTTCAACCTAGTCCTGAAGGTCAAGACCAAGGTCGCTTGGTTCCTACCCTGGCATCCTTGCCCCTGCTGCTCAGTCTTCACCACCTCCCTGAGATTGAGTTCAAGCCCTGACTTAGAACCTTGGCCCAGACCTAGCTGCAAAAGACAGGAAAAAAGTACTCACCCCTCCTCTTTCATGTTCTCTAGGAAAGAGCTATGATGAGACTGTGGATGTCTTCTCCTTTGGAATAGTTCTCTGTGAGGTGAGTTCAGACCCCAGCTCAGCACGATGCAGTGAGGGGCAGACCCTGGCTTGGGTACCTTCCTCAGGATGGCCAAATAAGACAGACTCCCTGTCCTCAAGGAGGTTAGATCCTGTGAGAGATAGACATACTTGAAGCAATAGCCAATAACACACTTTCATTGATGTGGCCACTCTTTGCCAGCGCAGGTTGCAGCCCATCCTTTTGATTCAACAGATACTTATTACAAGAAACGCCCTGGGCTAAGTGCTGGGGAGGCCAGGATGAAAAGTGCGAGAGGCAATGAGGGTGTCCCAGTAGACACTGGACTGCTGGCCTTGGAATCAGGGAGACCTGGATTCCCATGCTCCCTCATGGTTTGCCAGTTCAGCACTAGAATCTGGAGCCTTCTTGGCCTATTGCCAGGCACACCTACCCAAGCTTCCCTCTCAGCCACCTTCTCAGGTCCTGCTCATTTGCTGCCAAAGGCTGAGCTCGCTCCACATTTGTGATTTCACCTGAGCTGGACCCTCACTATTGTCCCCTGGGACCTGGGTGGTGGCATACTTCTCTATTCTCCCCTAGGCGACAGTCTCCATTGCACCTAAGCCAGAAGTCCTCCTCCCTCCCTCCAAACCTCTCTGCATACTCCCTACATTCCTCCTGGACTTGAGTCTTTGATAAAGAGTTGGGCTAAGCTCTCCAGACCTAACGCCTTGTCTGGGAGTTGGGCACCTCCATCACCCCCTCTCTGTTTCTCATCTTTAGTTTCTCTTCATCCACTAGCTCCTTCCCTAATATCTAGGCCTTCCTCATCCTTAAGAAGAAAACAAAAAACAAAAAACCCTTCTCACCCTTCCCCTTTCTATCTTCCTCAGATTATGATCCAATATCTCTTTTCCATCTCATAACTGAACTCCTGGAAAGGATGTCTGCTTTTGTCACCTCTCCCTTCCTCACACGTCCCATTCACTCCTCAGTCCCTGGAAATCAAACTGCAGAAGAGTCACTCAGCTGAAATCATTGTCTCCACTGTTGCCTGTCATCTCTGAACTGCCCAATCCCTCTCCTGTTGTCAGTCGTCCTCCAGACCTTCGAGCAGCTTTGGCAGAAGCACCTGCTGCTTCTGGTCTGATTTCTGCTGCTCAGTCTCCTTTGGAGTTACCTTGGACGTTCACTAAAACTTAGCATCAGGCCCCATTCTCTTCCTTCTTGGGGATCTCATTAGCTTCCTTAGATCCATGTGATTCGCAGATCTCTCCTGATCTCCAGCCTCATATTATCAGCTGCTTGCTGCCCTTTCCCACCCCAGTGTATCTTGAGCTGGATACATCTAAAATAGAACTTATTATGATTCTCTCCAAGAGCCAGTTGGCTGCCTCCAAATGGCCTCATTTCTGTCCAAGGCATCGCCCTCCTTCTAGGCAGCCAGGTGTGCCATCTTGAGGTCAGTCATCCTTGACTCTTCTTTTTCTTTCCATCTCTACAGCTGGGGCTCCTTGCCCCCCATCACCTCTCATGTCCATTCTTTTTGGTTGGCGCTAGGATAGCCTCTCTATTCTTTTAGGAGTCAGTGCAGTACGTGGAAGGACCCTGGATCTGAAGTCAGAGGGCCTAGCTTCCAGTCCCTCTCTGCCACTCACTACCTGGGCAACATTGGTCGTTATCTCACCTGTAAATCGCGTGACCTCTGAGGTGCCTCCCAGCTCTAAGTCTGTGATCTGCAAAATGAAAGGATTAGACTCAGTGGCCTGTCAGGCTCCTTTGAGTTCTCAGCCCTCAAGCTTGTGAACCCCTCTGTGTTGCCTCCTCAGGAGGCAGCCGTCCCTGTCGTCCCTGTGCTCCTCAGGAATCTTCACTGGCTCCCCATTGCCTCCCAGGATCCAGTAGAGGCTCCTCAGCCTTCCACCACCTAACCCCCACTTACCAACCTTTCCAGTCTTGGTTCCTACAGTGTGCACCTCACACCCTGTCCAGTCCTCCCTGCTGGCTGCTCCCTCTTTGGGGGCTCTGAGCTATTGCTCAGCTGGTCCCCCACACCTGGAATGCGCTCCTTGCCTCCTTCCCAGCACAGCTCAGGAACATCCCCTTCCACTTATCGCTTGCTGTTTCTTGGGACAAGCATTGTATTGTGTACTTGTCACAGTAGAGGGTAAGCTTCTGGAGGGCAGCCACTGCTGTATTTTTTTTTCTTTTTTTTAAAATTTATTTATTTTTAGTTTTCAACATTCACTTCCACAAGATTTTGAGTTCCTAATTTTCACCCCTTCTCGCCCCTCCCCCCACCCCAAGATGGCAAGCATTCTGAATACCCCTTCCTATATTTTTGTTCAGCATCTAGCACAGCACCTGTCACATCAGAGAGGTAGACCTAAAGGCTGAATTGGCTTTGAGCTTCTCACTACAGTTGAGAGCCATGGTGTGTCTGTCACACACGGAGTGAATGCTGGGCTGTGTCTGGCTGGGGGAGGACTCTGCTCGTCTCCCTACTCTTCCCATTCTGCACTCCCAAAAAGCTTGCCCTTCTGTCCTGCTGCTAGTGACTTCACCTGGGTCTCCCTACAGATCATCGGGCAGGTATATGCTGACCCTGACTGTCTCCCCCGCACACTGGACTTTGGCCTCAACGTGAAGCTTTTCTGGGAGAAGTTTGTGCCCACAGATTGTCCCCCGGCTTTCTTTCCCCTTGCCGCCATCTGCTGCAAACTGGAGCCTGAAAGCAGGTGAGTGGTGATGGTGAGGGGCCTCCAGTACAGCCCCTCACTTTCCTCCCTCTCCCTACCAGACTTGAGAGTCTGAGCCCCCTCAGAGCACTCAACGTGAAAAAGGGCCCATTCATCTGGAAGGCCCTCTTGGGCTCTCAAGGTCAATTCTCTGAGGCAGCGGGATAGAGCGGGAGCACCCTGCTTTTGGGGTCAGAAGGCCTGAGACCAGGGTCCAGCTTCATAAACTTGGCCAAACCTTTCTCACCTGTAAAATGGGAACAGCTTGATAGATGTGTTCTGAGAAACATGCATAGCAGTCAAATTGTAAGCTAGTCTGATGCGTCTGAGGGAGCTCCAGCCTCTTCCAGGCAGATGGAAAGACCTGGGGTTCCATCAAACTAGCCCCCACTCCCTGGGGCACCCTCTGGTCTTCTAGGCCTTCTGTGGCGACCATGGAGGATCCCTGGCTCTGAGGTGCTGCTTGTTTTCTTTTCCAGACCCCCATTCTCAAAACTGGAAGATTCCTTTGAAGCACTTTCCCTCTACCTGGGAGAGCTGGGGATCCCCCTGCCCTCAGAACTGGAGGAGCTGGACCACGATGTGAGTGAGCAGTACGGGCTGAGCCGAGACTCCCTTTCCTAAGCTCCCCCAGGCCACCAGCTGTGTGGCGAGAGAAACATGGTGCCCCAGCCACCTCCAGGGCATTACAAGGCACAACACTGCCCATTTATGGGGCAGTGACCCAGCCCCACTTTGGCCAAGTTGAGGTTTCCTGTGGATCTGTGGCTCCCTCTGAGAGTGGAAGAAGCCATTTTCTGCTACCTCCTCAGGAGGAAAACGTGCCCAACACTACTGCTCAGGAGATAGATCTCTGGGGCACGCGGGGTGCCCCTTCACCATCTCCAAACTCAAACCTCGACTGCAAGCTGTGAAGAAATGCCTCTGCTCCTGGCACCCAGAAGCCTGCTGCCTCCTCGAGGGGCTGAACCTGCTGCTTCCTTGGGGCCCCCTCACACGCGGATGCCTTAATTGGGTCTCTGCCGTGGTGGATGTTTGGGAGCAAGACGTGGCTAGCTCTGCATCTCCCTGTCTGCCCCTCCTCTCTAGGGCTCATCTGTTACTTTACCGCCCTGTGTGCAAGTCTTCCTGCAGGACCTGAGGGTCTCCAGTGCCTCCATTGACTCGGGGGCGGGGGGGGCAGAGTCTCAGGCCTCTCCCTGCAGACTTCATTCATGGTTGCTTCCCCCAAGGCAGGCCTGCAGTAGAAGACTTAGAAAGTCTTCTATGATGGTAGCAAGGGTCAGTGCCAGCTGCTAGCAGATACGGCCTCTCCCAGACTGGGAGAGACCCGAGTCTGATGCCGGGGTGGACATTCCTGTTACTGGGCATGGTGGGTGCTGTTGACATTCTTCAGTCCTCTGGGTTGTTGAGGGGGTGCACCTAGAAGTTTCTCTGCTGAGGGAAGGAGACATGATCTGGGCCCACCTGAAACTTAGTGAGGAAAATGAGCCCCCTAAGCAAGGCCCACTCACCCTCTCAAACTCAGTGCTCTTTCCCTGGCCAGCCTAGAGGGCACACCCTAGCTCACAATGGTGAATGCTGACCGAGACTGGTTTTCCCAAAAATGAATTGGAAGGAGCAGCGTCACAGCTGGATTTGCTTTCTCTAACGTACCTCCAGGCAGACACCATATTTAGCAGTCAGGGAATCAGTGCTGGGGTTACTGAGATATGGGGAAAGGGGATGCTGTTAATATTCTTGTGTTAGCTCAGTTGACAGAAATATGTGAAATAGTGATTATCAGCCTGCTGAACTGTGGAACTGGTTATCATCTCTTGACTAAAGTTTACTTTTCTAATGAGCTGTGTAGATTGGCTGTAGCCCACTAGGGACTCCTTGGTGGTAGGATGTGGTGGGCCTGACAGTGAGGAGGGGCCCAGGAAAGTCAGTCAGGTAGGAGAGGAAAGTGGTCTGAACTGTCTCCTTCCCCCAGGAGGGCAAGAGCTAGTATTCTTCACGGCAAGTGTGAAAAGAGGAGGGCCAAGTCAGGCAGTTGGGTCGACTTCAGTAAATGAAGCAGTAAATGGAGCTGATGGAACCAATATTAAAATTATTTGGGCTGTGGATCAGAAAGACATGGGTATACTTTCCTTGTTGGAAAATGCTTTGGTTGGGCAATTAGGGACCAAGAAACAGTCTTGGAGATGGCCCTGGTGACCACAAAGATCCATCTGCCACTTGCTACCCACCAGAATGTGGCCTTGAACCAGGCTTTCCCTCATTTATAAAGTGAGGACGAGTTTGGGTTATATGATCTGCAAAGACTAAGTCTGACATTTCCTGTTCTGGGGCCCCTCCCCGGTCCTGACATCCCCTGTTCTGGGGCCCCTTCCAATTTTGACATTCTATGGTGGCCACTCAGTCATAGAATGAAATGAACACCCTCTCATGCAGCCCCACCTAGAAGGAAGCCTTTTCTCCATTACTCTACAGCCATTCTCGGTCTTGGATGGGCTCAGCCTTGTTTGGAACCTAAGTTACATATAAAGTACGTTCATGTATTTCACTCAATGCCAGGGTCGTTGTGAAGATCAAACAAGACGGCATTTGTAAAGCACTCAGCACAGTGCCCAGCACTCAGCGGGCACTCGGCAGGTGCCTGTTCCCTCCGTTCTGCCCTGGCCTCCACGCTGCATGGTTTCCTGGGAAGAATGACAGGTCCCGAGGCTCTCAGTCTAGGGAAGGACCCCTCCCCCTTTCTCCCACGCAGGGAGCCAGGTTCAGCTCGGAATTCAGGGCCTGATCCTTGGAAAGGCCATTGCCCTGGACCCCAGGCCTCAGGGGAAGGGGAGGTAGAACCTTTGCTTCCATGGGAAGAATGCCCTTCTCTAGCCCCCCTGGGGACCCAGACCCTCCATCCTTGGAAGTTGTGCCACTGCCTCTCCCTCCCTGGGTCCTGGGTGATCACTCGGTGGAGCTGGACGGGCCCAAGGTCACATAGCGATGAGCTGTCCTTTGTGTCCTCCCCAGGAGTCCCATAGCATTGAGCAGAACCAGATTCCTACACTGTTCGTGCCCCTCCCCTATGACAACACCCTCAGTGTTCCTTGTGAGCAGACCTCCAATCCGTGAGCAGAGCTCCGGCACCAGCCTGCTCCTCCACAGCACTGCTTAGGGGTACACTCCAACTCTGGGCCACAGCCTGAGGTCAGGCAGGTGCTTCTGAGGTCACCAGAGAGCCGCCTCTCAAGGATGAGCTCACCAGGGTGGCGTGTTCTACCCAAAGGCCGACAGTGCTACAAGTGAGTTTTGTCCTGTTTAATGTGTTTTTACCAAGTTGAAACCAGAGTGGCTTCCTGCCTACAGTGTGCGGGTGTTAGAATGAGGTATATAAAACACACAGAAATGGTTAAAAAAAAAGTCAGAACCACTAACCCAGCGGTGTCTGTGGTGTGCAGCGCACATGCAAGCCAGGCAGGTGGATGGCAAGGTCAGCTCTTCCACGGGAGCTGCCCACCACTCCAGGGCTGGTGCATTCACACACACACACACACACACACACACACACACACGTACTCACACACGTACTCACACACCGAGCCACTTGGATTTTGGGGGTGGGGAGAAGGTGCGGGTTTGGTGAAGTCCCTCCCTTCCTCCTAAGGCCTTATGAGGAGCAGTGAAAGACTTGGAGGAGGGATTGGAGACCCTGACCCTGTGGGAGCGAGCCTGCCTCTGCCACCGTCCTGTGCAGTCAGGGACTTTCAGAGGCTGGGGAGGGGCACAGTTTGGCGAGCCCCAAAGAACCCTGCTGTGTAAGCCCCCATCTGCTTGTCCTCCTGGGGACATTTAAAGGATCCAGCAATGGAATTACGGACAACATTTCTGGTTCCTTGGACAATTGTGAATCCTAAAATATTGTCATTGTTTCCTGCCATCTCTCAGTCCAGAGCTTCTAGCTCTGACTACCTGTGTTGGCCTAAGGTACCTGGCTCAGGCCTCAGTCTACATGGAACGTTCAGTACATTTCTTCTCTTCCTTTTCATTTGGGCTCGGAAGAGTATTGGCCCTGGGCTGCAGTTACCCTGAAACAGACCTGGCCCCCCCTCCGTTTCTAGCACTCAGCCTTGAGGGACCACAAACACAGCTGAGAGGCCCCAACTCACCAACTGACCCTGATGCAAATGAAGCTCTCGTTTTTCCTGAAATACAAGGTAACAGTCTGTATGTGCCATTCACACCTCTCCAGGCAAGGACAGGGAGGAAGCCAAGGCCATGTGGAATTCTAGAGCACAAAGGGAGTAAGTGGGGCTAGGACAAAGGCCACCCTGTCCCCCATTTGAGTTCTGTGGGAAGTCCCTGCAGACAGCACCCCTACAGCTGTTGCTACAGTCATCTCCGTGGGCAAAGTCCCGCCCCAAGGGATGGCCCTACCAGAGAAGCGGGGCTCCCCCTAGTCCTTTGTCTCTGGAATTCACCCAAAAAACACTGTGACAGAAGACGAGGGCCATTCCCTACTTGGGAAGGTCAGTGTCAGTGTAGATTCCTACCCACTGGCCACCAGCTCAGGCGCCAGGCGTGCCAGCCTGGCCCATGAGGGGGGCACTGCCATCCTTTGTGTCCTCCCCAGGAGTCCGGTGGGTGTGAATCACAATGGTTTTCTCATCCACGATCTCACACGCAGGGTTTGTAAAGGCAGACAAGGGCAAGGTGATACGCTGCATCTCCCGCTCATAGGTTTTCTGTTCACGATGCTCTTTGAAGTCCTTCCCCCTGATGGAAAGAATGAAAATGAAACACACCATCAAGTCATGGTTCCTGCCTGGATTCCTTCTTTCACGTCTTATCTCAAGTGTCATGGGGGCTGACGATCCAATCAGCTCACCAAACAGAACTAGACATGGCGGCCTTGTGGTCAGTCCCCATCCTTGAGCTCAAAGCACGGTTCACTGAGTCACCTCTACATCCCACGGTCTCTCCCCATACCTCTTCCTAGACTGCAAGGAGTGACAGTAAAGAAAACCTCGCTCTCTCAAAACGGACAGCAAACCTTAAGACCCAGCCTGGAAGGGAAGCCATCCTTTATATAAAGAAGAAAAGAAGGAGGGACAAAAGGAAGTCTGACATTCTACAGCATGTTCCATATCCTTTCCAGACCTTGCTCAAACCCACCATCTCTTGAGGCGGCCATTCCCCCTCTGGAGAGCTCAGATTCTTGGGAATTTTCCTTCTATCAAGCTCCACTGTGCCTCACTGCAGCATCCAAACATTACTGGTCTTCCTTCTGGGTCCAAGCAGAACCCATTTTTTTATCTCTCCCAGGAAATAGCCCACTTGACCCCCCATTCTTCAACTACTAATAAGCCATAATCCCTAGACCTCCTCAATGTCCTGTTTGCTTTCCCCTGGATTCTCCAGTTCATCCGTGTCCTTAAAGTGCGCCAGCCAGAACTAAATGCAGTTCTCCAAGTGCCATCCAGCCAGGGCAGGCCCCAAGATTTCTGGTCCTGGACATTAGCCTTGTGGGATGTAAATTTTCATGGCTGCCATAAACAGTGGGCTCGTTCTGAGTTTCCAGTCCACTAGCAATCCCAGCTTTCTCTGGTCTGGTGCTTGGGAAACCGACTTCTTGGAATATACTCAGATTCAAAGACTACATTGATCCCTATTCAATTCCATCCTATTAGATTCAGCTCAACAGTCTCTCAGGATCTTCCCAACTGTCCTTCAACATAGTGGCTTTCCCTCCTAGCTCCCTATCAGCTAGATTTCTTGCTTCATCTCATATCATTCAGATATCTCCACCACTCTATTCTCTCCATTCTGGTCTCAGACAGAGGGTCCTTCTGCTTGCCAAGGCAGACCACTCTCCATGGCCCTTGACCCTAGCTAGCCCCTTCTGACTTCTCCAGTCCTCTCCATCATCCCAACTCTCTTATCAGTCTCTCCCTATCTACTGACCTTCCCCCAATCACCCACCTTGCAACCTCAGTGTCTTTCCTCTTCAATCCCTCACTTTCACCCACCCTACATAGTATTATGGTTTCTACCTTCCCAATATTTCATTTACATTCCCTTCTCTTCACTGCATAGCCACAGTGCTCACTCACGCCCTCAATGACTCTATAGACTAGTGCGATCACCTTCTCTTAGGGGGACCGTGGTACCCTGGACAATCACAGAGATGTTTGGAATAGGAGAAAGATGGTGAGTCTGAGATGCCTATGGGATGTCCAATTCAAAATGGCCAAGAGTTCTTTGGAGATGACTATAACTCAGCACCAGCTCAAGGTTGGAGATATCAATTTCGAAATCATCTATCATCTATCGCAATTGGTTTCTCTCCCTGCCCCCTCTCTTCTCACTTGTCTCAGTTGCCAAGGTGATTTTTCCTAAAGTATAGGTCTGACCATCTCTCCCTCCCTCCCTCTCTCTCTCTCCCTCTCTCTCTCTCTCTCACACACACACAAAGCTCAGTGAGTTCTGTCAGCTCCCTACTACCTCCAACATCAAAGTCCTCTGGCATTTAACCCAGCCCCTCCCTCCCCTGCCAGCTTTACTACACTTTGCTCCCATCCACATGTTGCACATTTCCTTCTCCCATCTCTGTGCCTCTGTCCTGGCTGTATCTCCCCCCACCCACCCACCCATGTTTTGGATCCTCTGCCCTTCTTTTCCACGGCTCCCTTCAATACTCGAATCTAAGTCTGCCTTCTGCAAAAGGCCTTTCACAGTTCTAGCAGCCATTGCCTTCCCTTTCATATTTCCTTCATCATCTCTGTGTATGTATCTCATAGGTACTGAATTATTTTACATGTCAGCTCCCTCATTAGACTGTGAGCTCCTTGAGGGCAGGGACTCTGTTTTTGCCTTTCTTTGTATCCTCAGCACTCAACACAGTGTTTGGCATATAGTAGGTGCTTAATAAATGTTGGCTGACTAGAATAGAAAAGGAGGAAGGGTCAAATCTTGTCTCTGAAGCTTACAACCTGTGTGTGATGCTGGGCAAGTCACTCAGTCTCCCTGTGCCTCAGTTTCCTCATGTGTAAAATGAGGGGTTGGACAACATGGCCTCTGAGGGCCCTTACAGACCCAGAGCCAGGATCCTCATGACTAAGGGATCACTGTGGTTCCTTCTGGTTCTAACCCCCCCCCCCCATTTTAGCTTGGTTTGCCAAGCAGGCTGATCTCCCAGGAAGAGAATGTTCTGGCCCCATCCAGCCCATCCTCGTGGCAGATCAGTGTCTAACCTACTCCGATCACTCCCTAAGGATCTGTGACCTCGCAGATCTGGACCCTTCTCCCTGCTACATCCTTAGCCCGTGGCCTCCTGTAAATTTGTCCACCCACTGGCGAGGGCTGGAAGGTTTTCCACGCCTTCTCCCTCCTTCCTTCTTGCCATGGGACTAGCCCACCTTCTTTACTGTTGCATTGTACGTTTCTTTACTAACATCAGTAACTGCCCAGACTCGTATACATCTGGCTTTTATGGATTAGCTCCCCCGAGTCTGACAACCCCCTGTGGAGCTGACCATTAAAACTGGGTTCCTAAGCATGCAAAGGTAAGCCGAGCTCTGGAGCCACGGCGACCCCTCCCAAGAGCAGAGGCAGCCAGCGGGCTAGCGCTCTGGACTGGGGCTCCAAGGACCGAGGTTTGGATCCCGTGCCAACCATTACTGGTTGTGTGACCTTGGGCAAGTCTTTTCAGCTCTCTGGGCCTGGGTTTCCCCTTCTGTAGAAGGAGGGGACTGGACTCAGAGGGCCTCTAGGTTCCCTTCCAGACTTAGGATTCTGTGGTCTTGGCTACAATGGCAGGAAGTGGGGGGCTGGCTTTGGAGACTTGGTTAGAAGCATTTTAAACCGCAGGAAATGAAGGCACAGTCAGTCTCGCCTACATGAAGCTCTACCATGAGGACCTACGCTTCATTTTTTCAATCACAGGACTTAAGAGGGCCCAAGGAATCATCACGTCTGACCTCTTCACAGTCCAGAAATAGAAACTGAGGCCTAGAGAAGGGGGAGTGATTTGCCTGGGGTCGCCCACCAGCTAAAAGGAAGAGGCGAGATTCACCCCGGAATCTCCTGTCTCCATCTAGTTTCCTTCTTCCCTACACCAGGCTGCCTCCCTCACTTAAGGCAACTGGTCCAGGTGGGCCCCTCCATTCAGAGGCTTCCCAGCACGGCCAATTCCGTTTCACGTGGTGAAACCGAGGCAGCAACTTGCCCCAGCTCCTAATGAGAGAAATAACCCCCGGCTTCTCCTGTCCGGCTTCTCTGACCTCCTTTTTCATAGCTTGGCTCAGGGGGCAACAAAAGTCCCTTGTCATGGCCAAGGAGAAACAAATATTGTATTCACTGACTCTCCCCTCCTTTCCTCAGGGGGTGGAGCATGTAAGCTTACACTTTTTCCTTGCCTCTTATCAGCGAACAAGAGCTATACTGGAGCTCTGCCCGGCCAGCCGGGGTGACTGCTGCGGGATGGGAGAGGCATTGACACTCTCGGACCAACCTGCTGAAACCCACAGCCCTTTCCAGTCACACTGCCCCCTGCCCATCCTGGACAAAGGGGCAAGGGGAGGCTCCAATCTTCACCCCCACCTGCCACCCTGTTCCAGGATCACAGTCCTCAAGGGGAACGCTCCCTCCACCTACCCGCACCCTCCCAGTTAATGGAAGGCTCCATCCCACAGATCCGCAGTAACCTGATTCCTGCCTTGCTAAAGGGCCAAAAACAGGAGCCAGGCAGCAAACAGGGCAGGGAGCCAACCTGCTGGTCTCAAACCTCGCTTCCTCTTCCTGGGCCGAAGAGGGTACAGAAGAACCTCACTAAGTTAACCTCGGCTTCTTCCAAACAGTGGGTCACTCACAGAAAAGTCAGCGACGCTAGACAAATGGAGCCCAGGGGGTCGGGGTGATCGCTCCCTGAGCCTCAGTGTCCTCCTCTGTAAAATGAGGCAGTTGGACCAGATGGCCTTGCCACTCTAAAACATCGACCCCAAATGAACACAGCCAGTCAGGAAGACTGAAAACCTAGTGGAACAAACCAGTGGGTTCAGTTACTTGGACAAAGTAACCAGAACAATGATTGATCATTGTTTCTGGTATCCAGTGACCCTTCACTCCCGTTGAACAAAAAGCACATTTTACGCACTTGGGGCTGGAGACGGGTCCCTAAAGAGGAATCCTCCCCAAGTGGTCTTCCTGCTCCTGCCTGAAAGCCCCTAAAGTGGGGGAGCCCCCAGCTTCCCATGACAGCTGGTCCACTTTTGGACAGCTCTCTTCCTCATCCTCAAGATGCCTCCCCTCCTGCCCTCTGGGGCCCAGCAAAACCAGCCCAATCCCTCTTCCACTGACAGCCCTTCAGACCCCAGATGTGCAGAGGGTGGATGGTCTTGTAGCTTGGGGCTTCTGTGGTCTGGGCAGCCCGGCCTCCCTCTCCTTAAAAGGGTTAAAATCGGCCCCAGGAGGAGCTTGTGTCTGAACTCTTAATTCATTTCCTGTCCTACAGCTCTGAAAGGCTACACAAAGAGCTTTCTCGGGATGAAGGTGTGGCAGGCACAAAATGGAGGCAGGTGCTGAGCCCAGAGATGGTGCCAACTGCCTTCCCCAGGGCACTGGAGATCTTCTCCCTCAGGAGGAAGAAAGGTCAAGAGGGGGAGGGGGGCTTCTTGACTCAAGCACTCAGCAGGCATTTATTAAGCTATGGGCTTAATATGGCTATGGATCCTGCCCCCAAGGGCAGCAAAAGCTACAATGGGGCAAATGTCTGGTATTTATTCTTTTCTATATCCCCCACAGTACCTAGTACAGTTCAGGCACTGTCTCAATAATCACGCTTCAAATAGGGTCACAGAGACCAGTGCAGGCTGGACTACTGTCTACTCCCCTTACACACTGACTGTCGTCCTCCAGCACCCTGCTGTGGAAGATGGGGCAGTGACCCCCTGCATGGAGCTGTTCACTGAGGCAGGGATCTCTGTCAGGCATCACACCGGTCCAACCAACCTGGGTTGGCTTTATGTTGACTCCTCCCCTTTCAAGGCTACCCTTGATGGTCATTTTAAGCAGATCTCATCTGGACACACTGGGAGAAGGGGAAAGGATGTGTCCCAACCACAAACGGCCCTGCCCAAGAGAAGGTTACCCTTGAAGAAATTTAAACCTCAAATGCCAAAAGCAGGCAAGGAGCCATCCACCCTTGGGATGGGCCTTCTGGCTGGACTGCTATTTTTCTGTCTGCCAATTTTTTTTTTTTTTTTGCCTAAAGTCAACAAGCACTTATTAGGTATTTACTGCATGCCAGGTTCTCTATAAATAAATACTTGGGACATAAAGAAAATTTAAAAAATATATAGCCCTGCCCTCAGAATGTTCCCACTATGTCCCCCCACTTTTCTTTAAAACTGGATCTCCCTATTTCATCCAGGCTGGAAATTCAGTGTCCCCTCATGTGGCCAACCCCACTGCTGACTGGCCAGGAGTTCTAACCCGCTCCTTCTCTGCCCTGAGCTGGTTAATTCCTCCTCAGGCAGCCGGTGGGGCCACCTCCTCCACTGCCTCGGAAGACTTCAGAGTGCCCAGACCAGCAGCCATGAAGACACACACCTTTCCTATGTATTAGAGACATCTCCCTTAATCCTCCAGCAAGAGACCTCACAGGCATCTAGTCCAAATTTAATCCAACACCCTCATTTTACAGAGGAAACTGAGGCCCAGAGAGGGGAAGGGACTCCTCCAAGGCCATACAGGGAGTAAGCAGTAGCGTCAGGATTTGAACCCAGCTCCTCTGATCCATAGTCATTTGCCACTCCATGTACAATACTGCATACCTGTCTAAAGAGATGCATGTAGGGAGCTGTGGGCAATAAGACACTGACCTCTTGTAGACATAGCCCAGGACAATGCCAGCGCCAATGGCAATGATGATCACCGTCATGGTGATTCCCAGCACGTAGCCTGCCAAGGAAGAAGGCGACATTCATGAGCGCCTCCATGGGGCTAACACCAGGCAGCCTCTTGGTGGAATCCTCATTGAGGAAGGGATGAGGTGGGAACTCTGGGAGTGTGGAAGAGGGCCAGGGCATACCTATCATCCCAAGGTCTTTCTTCTCTGACATCCTCACTCTCTGGCTGACCCCAATCACTGGTTGCACGGCTGCTGACTCACTGTTAGGGGGCAGAGAGTCTGCGACCTCGAAGACTTCCCCATCGGCTCCGGGGCTTTCCTGAGATGCCTCTGCGTCAGTGGTGAGGGGCAACGTTTCCTGAGTGGGGGTCCCTGGAGAGGGAGGAGAAAATTCTGGGCATCAGGAGAATGTCCCAAGTGATGGGGGTACCTTGGGACCCCTCCTACAGAGGGAAACAGAGCAGATGGGTGAAGGGTAGGGACAGAGGGGAATGGGAGATACCCCCTCAGAGAGGGTATCAAACCTCAGGGAGAGAAGGGATATGGCTGCATGGGTATTCTCCATCTCCTAGACCTTGAGAGTCTGCACACACACATGCACATGCATTCACACATATGTATACACATGCAAGAATTGCCCCTGGGTAGTGCACTGGTCAGAGCTGTCCCAGTCTAAAAGGATGCACTTTGGAAAAAGGTTTCCAGAAGACGTGCTCTACCCAGCATCTACTGTTAGAGCTGGGCTTTAAAATCACATCTCTTACGCTTTTCCCATTAGACACCTATTGGCTATGTGACCCTGGGCAAGCCTCAGTTTCCTCATTCATAAAATGGGGCTAATAATAGCACCTGCCACCCAGGGATCCAATGGGATTATGTCTGTAAAGTGTTTTGCAAATCTTAACATGCTATATAAATGTCAGCTGTTATTATTACTGCTAATTCTCCCCACTTCCTAGCTAACTAAAATCAGCCATTCCCAAGCATCATTTTGCCTGGGGGCTCCTCATTATGTTTGGGATCTGGACAGGCTACCAGATACCACGTTTTTGCCTTTCTTTGGTTCCCCAGCACTTGGCACCGTGCTTGGCACATAGCAGGTGCTTAGGAAATGTTACTGACTCATTCTCTGACTGACATTGCCTTGATGAGTAGTGCAGTGCAGATTACAGGACCAGGATTCAAATCCTGGCTTTGCCACTTACTAGCTGCGTGCCCCTGGGGTGAGGTGCCCTCCCTGGACCTGAGTTTTCTCAACTGTAAAATGAGTGGGTTGAACCACAGGTCCTGTGAAAGGATGACCCCATGATATTGGCATGACTTTGCATGCTTGATGCCCCCTTCCCGGATGCAGCCTCCTCCATGTGACGGCCCCTGGGGACTCTTGCTGCTTAGATCTGGGGCCTCATATACCTCAGTAAGGGTTAGTGCAGGATTTGAGCCAGGAGGGGAGAGGGCAAGGTAGGACTCAAACCCAGAGCCCTTGCTTCTTTCACCAGCTCATTCTGCTTTTGTTGGTGCAAAAACTTTGTAATTGTACATAATGAAAATTTTCCATTTTGCTTCCATGATCCTCTGTCTCTCATCTGGTCATAAACTCTTCCCTTATCCACAGATCTGACAAATCAGTTTTCCCATGCCCCTCTAATTTACTTCGGGCATCGTCCTCTATGTCTAAGGCGTGTGCTCATTTTGAGCTTGCCCCACCAAAAAAGACCAGATTGTCTGACTAAGGGGGAAGGGGAAAGGGGAAAGGGGGCTCACTTAATGGGAGCGTGAGAACCAGACCACGAGCATCTTCAGCCAGAAATCCAGCCGGGGGTCCAGATCTGAGCAAAGACTTTCTTCCCCACTGTGGTGGACCATCTTAAAGGTCACAGAGGGGACAGTCTGGGAGTAGGCTAAGAAACTCCATCACTTCTGGGAGTTTCTGCCCCTCTCTGAGCCTCAGTTTCCCCATATGTAAAGTGGCATAACTATATAAAGTGAACTACCAGCCTGACATCCCCTGTCCTAAGGCCCCTCCCAGCCCTGACATCCCCTGTTCTCAGGCTCCTCTCAGCCCTGACATTCCCTGTTCTGAGGCCCCTCCCACCTTTGACATGCCCTGTTCTAGGGCCCTCCCAGCTCTGACATCCCCTGTTCTCAGGCTCTTCTCAGCTCTGACATCCCCTGTTCTGAGGCCCCTCCCAGCCCTGACATCCCCTGTTCTGAGGCCCCTCCCACCTCTGACATCCCCTGTTCTAGGGCCCTCCCAGCCCTGACATCCCCTGTTCTGAGGCCCCTCCCACCTCTGACATCCCCTGTTCTAGGGCCCTCTCAGCTCTGACATCCCCTGTTCTGAGGCCCCTCCCAGCCCTGGCATTCCCTGTTCCAAGCTCCCTCGCGGCTCTGACATTCCCTGCTCTCAGACCCTTCCCAGTTCTGATCGCAGCATGGTGGTGTTAAAATCTGGGGTCGCTGAACACTGATTCGCGTCCTGGCTCTGCCACTTTACCCAAGTCCTTTTCCCTTTCTGCGCCTCAGTTTCCCCATCTAGAACAGTGCTTGGTCTCGAGGGCCTCTGGGGCCCCTCTAGCTTTAGATCTGGAATCCCATACTCCAAGTCCCCTCCTAGCCGTGACCTTTCTTGCTCCTCCCCGCCTCAGTTTCCTCACCACATACCAGGCCCGCATAGGTTTGTTGAACACACTTGTTTACCAGAGGCTAGCGGAGGATGAGCTCATGGGGAGTGGCCCCGTCAGCCAATGGCTTGTCAGCGCTGAGGCCCAGAGACAGCCGTGGCCAATGGCGGGGCGGAGGGGGCGGATCCTGAGGCGGAGCCAGAGGAGGGGCGGGACCAGAGCCAGGGCCAAAGGGAGGATGAGGGGGCGGGGCAGTCCCTGAGGGCAGGGCTCAGGGGCGGGGCCAGACGTCGTGGCCAATGGCGGGAGGCGGGGGCGGGGCCGAGGCGGCCCCAGGGCGCGGCGGTACCTGCGCACGGGACAGGCTGGCAGCGCCGCTTCTCGAGGGCTCCCGAGGAGCCGCTCACGTAGCACCAGGGCCCGGCTGCGTCCGCGTCAGGGTTCCGGCAGTAGCTGTGGTTCTCCCAGATGGTTGTCCGGCCTGGGACCGCCCCTGGGGAATGACCGAGGGGGGAAGGGGTGCTGAACTGACCCCCAACCCTGTGAACTGTGCACCCCCCCCCAGGGCCGCCCTCACCTCCTCCCTCATCTTCTCCCTCATCCCCTCTTTCATCTCCTCTCCCTCCTCCTCCTCCTTCACCTCCTCCCTCATCTCCTTCACCTCCCTCACCTCCTCCCTCATTTCCTTCACCTCCTCCCTCTTCTCCTTCACCTCCTCACCCCCTCCCTCACCTCCTCTTCCACCCTCTCCCTCATCTCCTCCTTCACCTTTTCTCTCTTCTCCTCACCCACCCACTTTCCTCATTCTCTTCCCTCCCCTCCTTCTCAATTCCTCCCTCACCTTCAGCTCCTCACCCAATTCCTTCATCCCTTCACTCTCCATTCACTCCATTTTCTCATATTCTTCTCTTACCTCAGAACTGACGTCCTCACCTCCTCACTGATTCTCCTCCCTCACCTCCTGTATCCCTTCACTACTGACTCCTTTCCCTCACCCACCTCACCTGCTCATCTCCCTCATTCACACACTGTAGGTCCCACACACCCCAATTCATCCTGTCCCAATAATCCCTCTAACCACTTCCCATTCAACTGCTCCAGGCCCTTCCCTGACCTCCACCAGCTCCCATCACCTCCTTTTCCCACCAATCTGCCCCCTCACTTCCCATTCCCTCCCCTTGCCCACCCCCTCACTCACTCATCCCTCACCCACTGACCCTCCTTCCTTATCCCTCTCCTACTCACCAGTGGTGAGAGTCTCTGTCCCCTGGCTTTGCAATTCCTGCCAATTGAGGCAGGGCAGTCCATCTGCAGAGAAGCTCTGGTCAGCCTGGTACAGATGTCCCTGATCCCAGAAGCAGCCTGTGAAGAAGAAGGGCTTTGGCATCTACAAAAGGCATAAGCCAGTAGCTGATGTACCCCCGCGGTGCCCAGGACAGGTATGGAGGCAGCAGAGCATAGGGGGGCAAAGCACCCTAACTTTGGAGTCAGAAAACCTGGCTAGGACTGGTTCCGTTCTGCACCTCTCTGGGCTCCAATTTGCGCCTCTGTAAAACGTACTGGATAGAAAATGTAAGGGCCCTAGCTGCTCTAAGCCTACTGTGTGCCTGCGGACTCTCTCTCAGCAGTCTTTGCTGCCCAGAGGATATTGGTCAGTGGGTGGGCATCCATCTCCCAACCACCTCCACCCCACCCCCGCCCTGCCCCTAGTGCAGGGGACAGAGTTGTTCCTGTTATGTAAACTAGGCAAGCCCCCAAATCCCCCCCCCTCCCATCCTAAAGCCTTCAACTGGGACCCCCCCCCCCACTTTGAACGCAGCAGGAAATGAGAAAGAGAAGATGTACGGAAGGAGAGCTGGGGGCAGGCGCCTGGGCTCGGACTGCCCAGGGCTCCAAGCTGCTGCGGATGGCCTGCCAGCGGGAGGCGCAGGGCTGCCTGCCCCGCTCCCGGCCCAGCGGCAGCATCTCCAAGCTGCGCCTCGGGGAGGCCGGGGAGCGCAAAGACGGAGGATGCTCAGGGCCCCAGCTCGGGATCCAGGCTGCCTTGCCCCTTTGCCCAGGGTGGACCTCCGAGACCCCCAGCCCCTGTGCC